CAATGGCATCAATATTCTGAAATGTATCTGACAATTCTTCTTTAATCACTTTCTTAAGCTTATAAATACTTTTGTTGCAGTCAATAGAAACCTGGAAAACTGTTTCAGGTAATTCTTTAACAATGCAGTTAAGAGTAATTACAGGCATTTCTTCATACATATGGAGGCCCATATTTTAGTGTGAGTATTTATATCCTGTTAATAAGATGTATTCAATTTTTAATTAGTCCTACTGATGGTAAGAAGGCAATTTATTTGGTTAGCAGAGGAGTGCCTTTTATTGTTAATTCAGGTATATACAATCATTAATTTCAACACATAAATGGATCAATTTATTTTCTATGGGCGATCTTGGATTAAAAATGATTTCTAGTAAGTGAGAATTTATTAGTAATTTCATTAAAAATTTATCTATGTGCCTCAAGCACTAGCTCCACTATTATAGACAATCTGTTACCTTTGCCAATCATAATTATTTGTGGATTCATTCTGATAGGTGAAATTGAAAACTTTGGCATATCTCATATGATGCACAGGCCCTCATTCAATGTCAAAAAATAAGCTTAATGTACAGAATGCACTTTCTCCAAAAGATTGTTTTTATACAACAACAATAGATACCACTTATTTATGAATCTTTAGACTCTGGGCTTTGCCCATTCATAAAACATAGAAGATCCAGTGATTGCATAATATTACACAACATTAGATATTTTTCTTGCCAAAGTGATCAGTGTAAGGATTCTTTATGTGCATGTGATTTCTTATGATATTTTGAATAAATCTATTTCTTATGATATTTTGAATAAATCTATTTCTTATATAAAAGAACATGTCATTGGAACTTGAATCATTGAAACAAGAGAATGCCAAACTTATGGCTAGAATTGTAGAATTGGAGCAGACTGCAAAAGAAAAAGATGAGCTTAAGGCTAGAATTGTGGAATTGGAACACGCTATGGAAGAAAGTACCAGGTGCAAAGCTGAAGTAGCTAAATTAAGGCATGATTTTGAGGAGCTCAAACAGCAAACTTAAGTCATTACTAATGTGCAAGACATGTCTTCTATTGTAAATATCTCACCTAATAATATTGATTCAGAGTCTTTAGAGCTGATACAGAACACAGATTATTCCGAAATAAATACTCCTGAACAGATGGAAAATATATTTGACAATGCATCTAATTCTGATGTGTGTCAGGAGTCAAAGACT